AAAACACCTCACACTTCTGCAAAAAACATGAATTCATTTCTAAAAAAATACAGGTAAATTCACAGACCATATGTCTCATGATAAAAAATGACCAAAAAAATTTTCTGCTTTTCCTTATATATATATATATATATTTTATGTAAATCCAATTTCGTTTTTGATTTTTTAAAAATCAGAAATAAAGTCGGATTTAAAAAATATATATATGGGGTTGTAGGGCTCAAAATTCTCTACAACCTCTTTTTTTTTTTTTTACCTATTATTTAATTCAGGAAAATTCGTGTAAAATTGGGTCCGCGGTGCGGACCAGGTAGGCCACGGATGCGGACCCATTTGGGTCCGCAATCCGAGCTCGACCCCGCGGACGTGTCCGCGGGTGTTTCCCTGGCATGCACGCTTCATGAAGCGGTCGACGACGACCAGGATAGCATCATGACCGCGGGGGGTCGATGGACGAAGAGGACCCATAAAGTCCATCGAGATGGACTGCCAACGACCCTCAGCGATAGGAAGAGGCTGGAGCAAACCATAAGGCAGGTGGTTCGCAYTGTTCACCTCCYGACAGGTGGGACACTCTGCAACGTAGTCCTTCACAAAGTCCTTGCGCTTCGGCCAGACGTACAGGCGGCTGACGCGAGCCAACGTCTTGTGGAAGCCCATATGACTGGCGGTTGCCTGGTCATGGAACTCTGCTACTGCTCGGACACGTAGCTGTCCAGTGGAGGGAACGCAAATACGGGGCTCTCTGGTGCCCTGTGAACCGTGCCAGTACACGAGATCGTTGTCCCCGAGAGAGTAGTTCGGGACGGTCTTGCCACTCTGAAGGGTCGCGTGGATCTCGCGATACTCGGGGCAGTGGCGGTACTGAGTGCGAAACTCGTCGATCACCGAGTGGTGGACGATGGTGACCGAGATGGAAGAGAGCTGGATCTGCTCCTGGTCGTGGTCAGGGCGTCGGGATAAGGCATCTGCGACCCGATTAGTCTCACCCTTGATGTGCTCAGTGGTGAAACTAAACTCGGATAGGTCGCGCCACCAGCGAGCTTGTCGAGGAGTGAGCTTCGGTTTTGTCAGAAAAGCATGGACAACAGAGTTGTCCGTACGCACCGTGAACGTTGCCCCTTGCAGGTAGTGACGCCAGTGCCGAGCGGCATAAACTACCGCGAGAACCACACGTTCATCAGCAGTGTAGTTTATCTTGGCGGGCAAGAGCTGACGGGAGTAGAAGGCTATCGGACAATCACCTGAGCGAGATTCGACCGTGCCGTCCTCGGCGATGGTAGGAGAATAGTCAATAGAAGGCTCGTCAGTAGCTGGACGAGTAGGCGTCAGTCGAGAAGCAGTGGTAGGGGGAGGGAAGCGAGGGATACGAGGATGAGAGGAATCAGGAGAGGAAGGGAAGACCTGAGAAAGCACTGCTCCTACAACAAAGTTTGATGCATCGGTGGTAAGGATAAAAGGGCGATCAAAATCGGGTAGGTGAAGAACCGGTGCGCATGTCACCGCCTTCTTGAGGGCGCGGAAGGCGTCCTCGTGGAGGGGTGTCCAARCCCAGGGTGGGTTCTTCCKGAGGAGGGTGGAGGTAAGGACGTAGGAATACCTAGCGTATCCCCGGATGAAATTACTATAGTAGTTGGTCAGGCCTAGGAAGCTGCGAAGCTGCTTGGCGGATGTGGGAGCGGGCCACTCCGCAATAGCAGTGATCTTCGTGTCGTCCATGTGGAGACCCTGGTCAGACACGTAATGTCCTAAGAAGTCCACTTTGTGCTGGGCAAAGCGGCACTTGCTTAGCTTGGCGTAGAAGCCATGTCTGCGCAAGCGGTCAAGTACGTCGCAGAGGTGTCTAAGGTGCTCCTCAAGGGTACGACTATAGACCAGGATATCGTCGAGGTAGACGAGAACGTACTGCTCCAGGGTGTCCCTGAAGATGTCGTTCATCGCCMTCTGGAAGGTAGCGGGTGCGTTGGTGAGGCMGAATGGCATCACCGTGAACTCGTAGTGGCCGAATCGCGATCGGAACGCGGTCTTCGGCTGGTCRRCTKCAGCGACGCGGATCWGATGGTAACCGCTACGAAGATCAATCTTCGTAAAGAAGCGGTTGCCTGCTAGGCGGTCGAACAGCTCATGGGAACGAGGCATGGGGTAGCTGTTCTTAACCGTGTAGCGGTTGAGGCCGCGGTAGTCGATGAAGAGACGAAGAGTTTCATCCGCTTTGCGAGCAAAGAGGACGAGTGCACCCCACGAGGAGTTGTTGGATTTAATGAAACCCACTCTCAGGAGCTCCTCAAGCTGATGCTTGAGTTCGGTGGCCTCGGGGATCGAGAGTCTGTAGGGTGCCTGGTGGTGAACACGATAGTCAGGCACGAGCTGAATGGAGTGCTCGACGTCACGCATCGGTGGGATGCCGGCGTACGAGAACGACGATGGGAAAACGTCGTGGTACTCTCGGATGAGGTCACGAACKGYGGGCTCCAAGTCAGCCGTATATCGTGCGAGTTCCTCAGCGTCAGCGTCAGCGCGCGACGGCGGGGTGGACTTGATGGACGGCGGAGGGACGGAAGTAGAGATGGGAGCCATGGAGATAGAGGGAGGATCTGGCTCCAGAGGGATGAGCTCGGCGTCGGGACAGGGTGGATCATAGTGTAAGAAATCCGTCACGTCCACCATAAAGAAGGTGACGTCGTCCTGTCGAATGAAGTAAGCGAACTGCCGAGGCGAGGTGACAGTGATAGAGGGAGATGGTGTGGGCACTGAAGGCTCCGGGGGAGGAGGATCGGGGTGTGTTGTCGCCGTGGTACCTATGAAAGGTACGCGATACGTCTGTCCACACTTCGATTTGAGAACGAGAGTGTTGGTCGCCCAATCGGCCTCAGTGCTGCGGAACCGACGAGACCACGGAGTGCCGAGAATGAAGTCGTACCCCGTCTCCATCACATCGAAATGTGCAGAGGAACGATCAGTCGGCTCGAGAGTGAGGAAGAAGGGGAGGTCGGTGACCGTCTGATCGAAGAAGCGCTGGGTCCTGTCATCCCCTAGGGTAACGGAGATGGGAGTCGGAGACCCTATCGTGGGTAAGCGGGATTCCTTCACCACGCGTGGGTGAATGAAATCGCCCTGAGAACCGGAATCCCACAGCGATGAGTACACCCTCGTGGAGGTCCCGAGTCGTACGGGGATGATCGGGAGGGTGCGATCAGGGTCAGAGAGGATGGCGAGAAGGCGACGCAGTGCAGCGACATGGAGGGTGAGTCGCTCCTGACGAGCCTGGAGCATGCTCAAGTCCAGAAGAGAGGACACGACGTCCTCGCGAGTAGCGAGCTGCTCGCTGCAACGGGCTGAGCGAATGGCTCGATGCGTCGGTAGTCGCGGCAGGGAAGGAGGGGAGACGGTGGTCTGCGGAGGCGCAAAGGGTACTGCGACAGAGGGCTGAGTACACTCTGTCGAGTCCTGCGATGCCTCAACTCCAGTAGCGAGAGGGGCGAACCGCGATGGAGATGTCGGGAAGCCCACTACTGAGGAGGGCGCAGGTGTACACTGCACCATGGCTAGGAGGCCCCGCGGGTATGCAAGGCGCCGGGACGGGACTGAGCACGACGCTGGCGGGAAAGGTCAGCGTAGCGGCGGTCGAGGGCGATAGTGTAAGGGCACCGTGAGGAGGTATGACCGTCCAAGCGGCAGCGCAAACACCCACGTCGGCCCATAATAGCCGTTCGCTATTTAGCGGAAAGGACACCGCGAGGAGGAACAAAGCCCTGAGGGAGGTCCTGCTGAGGGACCTCGGGGGGCGATGCGCCAGCGTGACCAGGGCGGCTGCGTGCCTGGGAAAGGGTGGAAAGGATGAGCTGGAGGCGCTCAGCCATAGGGAGAGTAGGGTCCTCCAGGTGGTGCTGGACAGCATCGTCGAGGTCGAGGTCATCGCTATGATCACCCTCTGGCGACTGCGGGGCACCAGCGTCCTGCTCACCATACTCGAGCGCGCTGAAGCGGCGCGAGAAGTGGCAGCCCTGCTGCGCGGAACGGCGGGGGCGACCGCGGAAAGGGGAACGGCGCTGGGAAGTGCGGTGAGAGGAGGAGGAGGTGTAACCTATGCGCTGAGGCTGAGAGGAGGAGGCGGGGTGAAGACGGGCTCGCATCCGCTCATGGTTCCTGGCGGCCTCGTAAGCTTGCGGGGCCGATGTGAACTCGTACCGCCATAGCTCGGAGCGGTACTCGAGTGGGAGGCTGGCCAAGAAACGATCGATAAGGGCAGCCTCGGGAAGGAACGCCACGTCACAAACGAGGCGGGCGTCCTGAGAGACCTGGATCTGGCGATCCAGGCCGGCAGCGCCACCAGAGTCGGACCAGCGTGTAGTGACGACACGCTCGAAGGCGTCAGTCACGCCATATCGGGTTCTGAAGCGATCCTCGAGGAACGCCTGGAAATCCATGAAGGTCGGAGTCCGACCCTCACGCAGGGAGTAAGCATAGAAACCCTCCCAGGCGTCGAAAGGAGCACCACGCAGGCGCGTGGAGAGGTGACCCACCCATGTGTCGGGTGTGGCGCCTGTGGGCTAGAGCGTGCGGGTGGCAGCCTGCAGCTACCTAGACACGCGTATGCCTGTACCGTCATACAAGGAAATGTCCGACAAGTGGATGAGTGGTGCGCCACCATTTTGGCGGGCGAGGGGAACGGGAAACAGGGGACTGCGCTACGGCGGATTAAGTCGGTGCAGGTCCTGGAGGAGGAGGCGCAGCTGACTGTACGCCCGGGCCGCATGGTGGAGCGGCGGGGGAAGCAGCGACAGGCTGCACGGGAGCTGCGGTAGAAGAGGTCGCGGCAACCGAGGGGATGGGGAGGAGGTAGNGGGAGCTGCGGTAGAAGAGGTCGCGGCAACCGAGGGGATGGGGAGGAGGTAGGATGGAGATTGGTAGGGTGCAGGGCGAGGGAAGCGAGCCTGCATGGAAGGAAGAATAGAGGAAGAAGGGGGTGCGCCGGAAGGCGCGGCCACGTGTGGGGGTGGGGGTGGCTGAAGGCGTGAGAGGGCGAGGTCGGTCCGGAGTCGGGCGATCTCGTCCTCGAGACCTCGAACGTAGGTCGAGCGAGGTGTGGGAGGGGGGGACGCACGAGCGGCGCGAGGCATCCCACAAGGGGGAGAGCCAGATGGCGTTGCGGTCGTGCGAAGAGGGGGGAGAAGTGGGGCATTCGAAAAAATTGAGACCATGGTAGCGAGTTGTGGTCCCATGGTCGTCGTGACCGGAATCTGGGCGGGTGCGCCCGTGGACTGAGGGACGGCCTGACTCGTGGCGGTCGTCGTGCTAGGTGCGCGAACGGTCACCAAGATGGCCGGGTCGGGAACAACGGAGGAGGAAGCTCCACCCTGGCCACCCTGTAGGAAGGCGGGGGACCCGTACTGGGAGCCAGGAGAAGAGATAGGGTGAGGAGAGGAAGGACAACCAGCGTCCTGGAGTTGCCGCACGCCGGCGGCAAGGGTCGCCACATGCGCCGGTAAGGGCACGAGGGTCGCGAGTTGCGCCTGCATGGGCGCAAGGGTCGCGAGTTGCACCTGGATGGGCGCCAAGAAGGAGGTGAGGAGGGTGTGAAGATCCCCCTGGGGCTGATGGCCCTGGTCTGCCGGCACGGGTGTGGAGCTCGATGCCGTGGTCATCGCCGTGTCGGCGGCGTGTGACACACCGTCAGCTATGGGGAGATGACGGACCGGACTGAAGGGGGCCAGACAAGGTCCGCGTGAGCGGAGGGCGTAGGGGGAAGTCCGCGGTAGAAAGCGGCGAACGGCGCTAGCAAGGCTAGCACGGGCGCCGTCAAAGGGGGAGGGGTGGTTTGGGTCCAGGGTGCCCAAAGAGGACGGGGAAGTAGGGGGGTTGTGAGGAACCCTAAACCCTACAAAAACCCTAAGAAAACCCTAACCGAGGTTTAAGTGGTTAGGGTAGGGTACCGGTGACCTAACCAAGAAAGTAAAAGAGCAAGCATAGGGGGGGGGAAGGCGGGAGAAAAATAAATAAACAGCGAGATTTTGAGAGAAAATAAAAATAAATAAGGAAGTAAATAAATAAAAAAATAAGTAAAGAAATAAGTAAAAGGATGGAAAGGGAAAACAATATTTATTTTTTTGAAATTTTCGGCAGCATTTCCCTACCCCCCACGGGGTCAAGAATGTGCCAAGGGAAAAGGAGAGACCAAGGTGAGCACACTAGAGATGCCGCAAATWAWAWAAAAAAAATCAGGAAATAAATAAAGAAATAATAAATAAATAAATAAATGTGTGAGGAGGTGGGGAGAAATGGGTTATCTGATTTTTCAAAAATTTTGGCAGCATTTCTTTACTCCCATGGGGTCAAAGTGTGCCGAAAAGACTAAATAAGAGAAAATCAGAAAATTTCGGCAGCACTTCGTTATCCCCACGGGGTCAAAACGTGTGGCGAAAGCAAGAAAGGCTAACACCTAATCAGATTTAGGGTTGCCGCCAAGAAATTCGAATTTTCAGAATAAATAAAAGTAAATAAAATAAATCAAAAAATAAGAAAAGAGGGTGGGGAAGAAGATGAGAAAACTAACAACTAATCAGATTTAGGGTTACCGTAGAGAAAATCGAATTTCCAGAATAAATAAAAAAATAAATGAAATGAATCAGAAAATCAGAAAAGAGGGTGGGAAAGAAGAGATTTTGAATTTTTGGAAAAGAGAAAAGATAAATCAAAAGAGAGGTGGAAAGAAGAAAAACAGAATGAAAAAAAATTCGAAGTAGGGGGGAAGGGGAATGAAAAAGTGACGGAGAAAAGAAAGAAATATGTGGGGGGAGAGAAAAAGATAAAGTGAGAGGTAGGGGGGATGGTGTGGTGGTAGTTGGGGGAGAGGAGGGATGGGGAAAGGTGGACAGGGATCAAGAAAGAAGGAGCAAGAAGGAAAGAAAAGAGGAGATGAAGAAAATAGAGTAAAAGAATGGGTGGTGGGAGAAAGGTGGGATGGGGAAGATAAAAGGAGGAGTGAAAAGACGCAGCAGGAGGTGGGAGAGAGAAGGGGTGAATAAGAAGAGAGAGGAGAGGTAGGGAGAGTGGGTTAGAAGAGGGAGAGGGGAGAAGGGAGTGATACCTGGCCCTTGGTGTCTCCAAGGGCACAGGGTATACCAAGACCAGGAGGGTCTTGGTCTTCGCTGCAACAGCCAGTTGGAGAAGAGAGGGGGGCTGAGATCTTGATCAGCCCCCAGCAGCACTTCTGCAGATGTGCAGATCTAGGGTCTGCTGTGTGAGCAGGCCCTCACCACTGTAGAGCAGCCCCCTT